TTCCTAACAGTAGCAAAATTAGTTATGAAGTAGCAACAAAAATAATTTTATGGTGTGTGTGGGGGGGGGTTACCACAACATGAGGAACTGTATTAAAGGGTCACGGCATTAGGAAGGTTGAGAACCACTGCTCTAAATAATTCATATCCACAGATATATACTTGGAGTGACTAAGATATTGACATAGTTGTCTCTTTATGTGCTCTCTTAGAAACTTCAGGGTCAAATTCTAAGGCGTTACTGGCAAATATGTATGACTTAATAAGTGTCTTTTTTTTTTTTTAACTGATTCCACTATGGCCTATTTGATTCCTTACTCTGTTTCCTTCTTTCTGGTCTTTCAACCTATTTCAATTTGTTTTCTTACTACAATGTATTGATCTTTGTAAGTCATATATGAAGACATTATCATATGTAAAGAGCCCTTAAAAAGTATGCATGTTCAAGACATGCTGTCTCATAGGGCCTAAATTAGATATCTTAAATTTAGTTCCATCAGCATGGACATGGGACATATAGGATTATCTAATAGTGTAACATGGACTAACAGTGGCTTCTAGAAAACAGATAATTCCCTTCCCAGACTCTACAAACTGCTGTCTTGTCCCAAACGTAAAACTGTGTTACATAATCCAAAATGTCTCTGTAGTGCAAAGTACACAGGCAGACCTTCCTCCAAATTCCCAGCTGGCATATATTCGTGCTGAAGCAAATTAGTAATAGAGACGGTTTCAGCTGTGGAAGCACAGTTTAAGAAGAGCACGTCATTGAGGTGTAAATAGTTGCAAACAAAGAGACAGGGCCTTCTACAAAGACGTAACAAGCCCCCCGTGGATCAGTACAGAAAACATGGCCCTGATTCACACTATGGGAAGTCAAGAAGACTCTTAGGCAGATGAGGCAGAGATTGGGTACCCCAAAATTTGGAAGAATTGGAGCTCAAAATAGACCCTCCTCACATACAGTTGCTTTCGTGATGCTGAGCCCGTCACTCTTGACTGACCTTCCCATGTATTTTCATCATTAAGTCATGATCCTCAGCAAGCCTTTTCTGCCAAAATTCTTCTGTCCAGAGTGGGCAGATTAGGAAATAATTTCTTTTGAGAATTGTATTTTCTACCAGATATATTTAAGGTTTGCTTTTCATCCATAATTGTTTGCCCCACTTCTAAGACTGAAAATTCTGTTCTGATGCACACGGCCTTGATTTTTCTTCCTCTTTCCTTTCTCTCGGCTAGTTCTTTCTTGGGTTGATCCCTGTTCACATCTCATGTGTTTTATCCTTATAAACAGAATGAGCTATAACTTCGCATAGCAGACGTTGACATTGTTAGAGAACTGGTGGTGGTTATTTATTATGGTTCATAATGTTCTGCACAGAACAATCGATTACAAATGTGGCTCTCTTGATACTACATAGAATTCTACGATGAATTTCTACTGGCAAAAAAAGTCAGAAGGATTGTGGCTAACTGCAGATTCTCACCAGGATCAGGAGGCTGGGTGAAGACCCAAATTGCCTGAAATTTTAATATCTCATTGCACATTTAAAATTAAATTATCAAGTTTTATTGGAAAACATTTTATGCTCCGTTTTAAATATATATATGTATATATGTTCTTAATTCTTTTTTTTTTTTTTT